ACGACAGTTGGAGGGAGCTGGCTTAAGGTCTTATTTGTGTCCCAACCTCCTGAAGGTCGCAGTGTAACCCATTGGTCCAAGATTATCTACGATCACTGTGCCCCTCAATGGACGATTAAAGAAATTGTAAATTAGATGCCATCAAAAAAATAATAATCTGTTGGCTATGGATGCTAATGGGCTGAATTACCTACTAAAGGAACTATGCAGGTAATCAGGGGCTTACAAGCAATACAAAAAAATAGTAGTATATAGCAATCTCTGAACATGGGCATGTGGAAACACACTTCTAACAAAAGATCCATACAGGCCTATACACTTCCCCAGCTGCCCTTTTTTAAAGTAAATTTTACAGTTTTAAAGAAGAACTATGAAGTGAGTGAAAATCACTCATCCTCATAGTTCGAGCCAACGTGTGACATGAAACTGTCACACATCGGCTCAATAGATTGGGAAGTGAGCGAACACATACTGTCACTTGCTCACTTCTCGATCATCTCCCTGCAGAGAGCAGTGACGGTCAGTCATCGCTCCCCGCAGGGATTTTCCCCCCTCCCCGATTCTCCAGCGCTGACTGGCGGAACGGATGGGGGAGGGGCGGGCACAGCTGGCTCTGCCTCTGAATAGGCAGAGCCAGCTGCCACTCAAGCAGCTGGGTGGATCTCGACAGCATTGTCAGGATCGGTCCCCGGCTGTGGCCGTTTCAGTATACCGCGAGCTGTAGCTCACAACATACTGAGTTTTGGGTCACGGGAGGACGTTAGTACATGTCTTCCCGTGACCCTTAAGAGAACTATGGGGGAAAAACACTGACCCCCATAGTTCTCTTAAATCTATTAAGGAAAAAAAACCTCTGAAATTTATACCAAGTGCCACTCATTACCATTTTTACAGCTACTAATGGCTTAGATCCATATAACCCAATTTATTTTTATAGTCTAAATTCTAGCTGTAATTTGTGAAGTAAAAAATAAATGCAGGATGACTGTTGTCGGACTTATAAGACAGGATGAAGGGCACAGTTTACTTTTATCAGTGGGGTTAGAATTACCTCTTTTATGCAGTTTGCTGTGAAGACCGTGACATTGACATGTCTGTATTATAAACAAAATTCTATATAACATTTAGTCTTTATTATATGAACAGCAAAATAGATAAAAGCCAAAAGAGGACTGCTGATTGTAAAAAGGAAAAGGAACTAATGCATAAGTGAAAAATCCACCATTTACTACAAATATTTAACAAATTCCCAGATATCCTTCTTATCAACACTGAAGGTACATCCCTATTGCCACTAGGCCTTGTTTACACAGGCTTCAACCTGCAAGGGCAGTGTGAACAGCAAACGTTTGCAATGCTTTTAGCAAGTTTCCAGGAGCTTTGCTGGAGCCTTTAAAGAATGATTCAGTTTGGGAATGATAAATACAGAACTTAACGGTAGCGCTGTCGCTTTAAATAAGCAGCTGGATAGGGTGGAGATGGCCAAAACTGTTGCACATTCGTTGTGATGTCATTTCCTTGTTCCATTGAGGAAGTAAATAAAATTAAAATTGAACATCTAAGTCCTGTGCAGCACCCCCCCCTTTTTTTTTTTTAATTGGAATTTGTTTTTAGATGGGCCTCGGCAGGTGTGCACTTTATTGTATGTGCATACCTACCAACTGGTACTATGTCTAACGCAAGATACTTGTATAGAAAAAAACACATGCAAAAATAATTTATACACTGTGTCCTTATCCCACAGTTGATATTGTGACATATATCCTGCATTCTTGTTCTCAGTCTTAAACCAACATATGATCTGAAGAAGAAAAAAAACTTAGCTTGTATTGATTGAAGCCTGTGATAACCGAGCGGGATAGATCTGCTATATTGCTGCAGCTGAACTAGCCAGGTTCAATGAAATTCTGGTGTGTACAATCACATTCCACACACTCAGACAATCCAGTGCATGTATCATTTAGTATTACCTCATTTACTAATTATATATTGTGAATTACATCTGTTAACTTTTATTAGGTTACAGATAATGGTATCACTATTAAACAAAAGGAACAAGGTCACAGTAAAAAGAAAAGTTGACTTTTGCACTACATGTTTACAGAAAGACCTATAATAAATTTGTAGATAAGGCATAACTATGTTACAGCATTGTAAATAACTTACCAATTCGCATAACTCAAATACCAGAAGATAGGGCATAGTCTCCACGCATTGACCAACACACTGCACAATGTTAGGATGATGCAGGTAGCTTAGGAATGAGAAGGAAAAAAAATGAATTACTAACATGTACATGCCTGACAAACATTTTGCATTTAAACTGACCAATTTTTATCCATATACTCATTCTTTGCACCTGGTCCAAAATGTTGCCCTGTTTCAGCCCACAGCAGCCTTTATCTCTGGGCTATTAAAGGAGAACTATGGGGTAAGTGTTTTTCCCCATAGTTCTCCTCAGGGTAACGGGAGGACATAAACTAGCGTCCTCCCGTGACCCAAAGCTTAGTATACCGCGAGCTACAGCTTGCGGTAAACAGGGACGGATCCCGACATTACTGTCTGTATCCACCCAGCTGCGTGAGTGACAGCTGGCTCTGCCTATCTAGAGGCACATCTAGCTGTACCCGCCCCCTCCCTGTCCGTTCTTCCAGTCAGCGCTGGAGGATTGGGGCGGGGGGGGGGGACGCTCACTTTCCGATCTATTCAGCCGACGTGTGACAGCTTCATTGTCACACGTCGGCTCGAACTACGAGGTTGAGTGAAAAATCACTCACCTCATAGTTCTCCTTTAAGACTCATTTAAAAGAAATTAAGGGAAAAAAATGATTCTAAATATTGGACAACCTTCTCCTTATTAGCATCAGAATATACTGTATGTGTATGTAGACATTAAGAAATAGATCAAAAGATGCATAATATAATAAACAGTGCACATATACTAAAATACACAGATGTATGCATCAGAATTGAAGAAGTGGCTTAACTAAGCTACAAAATGTCTTCAACTTTACAGAGAAAGTCCAGTTGAATGTGGCAGGCAGAGAGCGCAGGAATATCTGATCTTTACTACAATGACAGGATTAATGGCAAGAACAGGTACAGTTTTTTGCACCTTCCACCCCTATAAAACAACGCTTTCAGGAGGTATATTGAACAAACCAAAAAGGAGCAAAAATAAGAGACATCCATTGTTTAGGTTTACATTCACTTGTGGTTTGAAAACCCTGAAGCCGTGATTTGGCATGGAGATGTCCACTGCAGCTTTAAAAAAAAAAAACACTGCTAGCAAAGGAAAACCTACTTTAGAATGATCAGCACAAGATACAGCCTCCATTTAGCGATGCATTGGCATTCTTGGCGTTACATCTCATAGCCTAAAAGAATGTTAAACTTACCAATATGGCTCTCCATTTTTTATAAACTGCTCCTGCTCCTTTGTACTTGCACTTGCTCTTAACTCCTTTATAATCACTCTCGCAACGCTGTTTTCTCTGTAGATCTCTCCCAGCAGAACCTGAAGAGCACACAATTGCAAAGCTCAATAAAAAGTATTAAAAGCACACAAAAATGAAGTACTGGGATTCCTCTACCAAGGAAGGCAATGACCAAAAACAGAGAAGGCAGTCTTCATTTCACTCAACAGACTAGGATAAACTTCAGCATGAGACAATAATGTGATGAACTCTTAAATGTAACTGTCCATCATGTTGGTCCTGGTCTTAATACTTTGAAAGTCCCTAACCCAGTACAAGCAGGCATATCTGTAGTGAGAGAAAGGTCAGAAGTCCTTATCTGTTGTTCTAGGTCAGTGACTAAAGTATGAAAAGAAATAGGGTCAGAATAAAAGCCAGGCAACCAACATTTTCAGGAGCTACAGCATGTAGACCTTGAACATTCAAAAAATGCTCCTAAATAAAGTCAACAGCAAATCTCGTTCACACAATGCAATACAGCAGCTCTAACCTTCAGAAAATGGTGTTATGTGTATATTACAAATGGTCAGAGAGCTGGATTTAGTAATGCCACTGCAGTTTCTAAGCTTACTTGTCCCAGCAGCCCTTTCAGCTAACCATTAGTTTGGGCATGCATGGGGTTTTTTTTTTTTTATGTGTTGGATAAAGTGGTGAAGGGATACAACCCCTGTCAAGTTTTCTTTGCTTTTCCCAATAGGAAGATTTCAAACCCTCAAGTTTTCAGGAAGCCATGCCCAAAAAAGGACAGACATAGGGCAAAGGAGTAGTCACCAGTATTGCTTGTGGTCTTCCTGGTGAGGCTAGCAGGCAGAGATGCCTAATACAAAAGATATATGGCTATGGAGCAATAGACACAGGAGTGCCTTTGCACACTCACATACACCGAGGAGGTCAAGACAAAAAGTAGGCACAATTAACATTTCTAGATGTTGCATATAGCATACAAAATCTTAATTCTTTTTTTCCACCTGAAAGATGATCTGTGCTCTTATAAAAACAGCCTTGTTTAGATAAATAGAGCAAAAGATGATGAAAAATCTTTCCTGGAAAAATTCCTCCTCTAGGTACATCAAAAACATGATCAGGGCTCATTTTAATTCGTCTGATGCTCAATTCCTGGGCTATTCCCTATGCTGAATGTTCGCAACTATTTTGTTTTATCCCCTTATTCTTTGCGTGAATGTTTTGTTATACTACTGTAATAACGCAATAAAAATGTATTGTAGTGTATGACTTACTGTCTGTTGAAGTTGAGGACCAGAATTCATACTAGATATTCCTCCCTTTCAGCACAGACGAGGTGAATACCTAGGGCTTTCACTCACATGAGAATTGAAGGGAGCTTGGAGAAGCACTGTCACCAGGAAAGTATTTCTGAACAATAATTACTCTGTGCTTCCAGAAAACAAAGCGATGGAAAAGAAAACCAATAGCTGTAGAAGACAGCCGGTAGTCTAAGATAGCCTTTCTTAGCTAGGGTGCCTTCTGACTTTTGTCAGGGTGCCTCCAAATCTGGCTAGAGGGGGGAATCTGATGTGAAGGTGCTTCTAATGTAAAAGGTGGGGGGACGACTCTAATTTGCAAGGGGAAACTTCATTGTCTTTTTTTGGGTGTTTTGCCAGGGGTCCCCACACCTTAAAATCCATACCAGGCCCTTATTTAAGATGGTTTTGTATTGATTTTGGAGGGGGAACCACGTGCCATACATTTTGTTTTTACATTTTAGACTGGGGATCCTTGAGATTTTGCATACTTTTAAAAAGGTCCCATGTCTGAAAAAAGGTTGAAAAACACTGATCCAAACTATCAGCGCATACCTTGTATCTACCCCTCCAGTGCCACTATTACTACTTGACTGCTAGGAGTTAATACAAAACAACATCTCTTCTTTGCGCAATTTAAGAAGCATAAAAAATTAAATCTCAGGTTACATTAGTATTTTTGCACACTCAGCGTGCACTAGTCCAAATAGCAGAATTACATAATCACTCATTTTCACAAAGTTAAAGAAAAAGCTTACCTTGCCAAACCAGCCATGACCAATCTCCTGAATGTAGCTTAGACTGTGGCGGGCAATCTGGAACTTTGCTGCATCTAGCAAGACAAAAACACAAGAAGGATTTCCCGTTAGAGCAGTGATACAGTGGAAGTGAACAGAGTCACAGAATGTACTGAATACATGATGCGACAGCCTGCACATTGTGTCTGATTTTTAAACACTGCATGTGTGGGAGCACAGTGGCATGTGGAGAATGTGTAATATGTGGAAGAACACAATAGGCTTCAGTTCTGAACTGGGTACTGGTCTGCAAAGAAAAAGAAAAAAAAATGTTGCGAATGTGACCTGAACCACTCATTATGATCTACAGTAATACCAATTTATACAGTGCCATCAATGCATGTCATGCTATAAGAACAAGAATTGCACGTACAACAACTACAGACGTGGACAAAATTTGTTGTTACACCTTATTGAAACAGTGCTTCATTCCTACTCAAAACTGGCGAAATTAAAATGAATTGTCTTATTTATATCTGCATGTCTTTGTATATCAAAGCAATATATTATTGCTCATTCAACAAGATTAGAAATAATTGGATCTCAGTGATAACCGTTTTCTGTAATTAATATTACAAGTTTTCAGTCTTGTAGCCATTCAGCCAATTTAAATGGAGAAAAGTAATCATTCTGCGGTTTGGCGTCATTGTGTGCCCCACACTGAACATAGACCAGATAAAGCAAAGTCTAGAGTTGTCTGAGATCATCAGAAAGAACTATAGACCAAAAATGTCAAAAAGGAAAGGACATAAGACCATATCCAAGCAGCTTGAAATTCTTGTTTTTTTTTATCGAAGCCCGTGGACGTGCATCAAAACAAACTTCCCCCTGTGAACAAAAAAAGTGAACCGTGAAATCACAGCACACAAAAACGTGCACAAGGGTGCAAGGTCCTTCAATAAAGACAGGACCTACTTCCCAACCCCCCGGGACGCAAGGCTCCTGACAGGGTTTGAGACTGTTGGCCCACCAACCCGAAGGCCGGTGGACCCCGATCCTTTGGGGACCTGCCGAAACAGGTCTCTCACAGTACTAGGCAGGGGGGATCTCCCGAAGAGAAACCCCCCTCCTGGGTGGGAGGAGACAGAGAACCCTATATAAAAGGGCACAGAATCTCCTCCCAGCATCAGGAATAGGCCCCGAAGAAACCTGCACCTTCAGCATCTGTGGGTCAAAAAGCTTTTAAAAAAGCCAAATATGCAATCGTGCAATAAATTATACTAAAGTGCCAGTGCACCACGCTGACAGGCCTTAGGGGCCGAGTGCAAAAAAATTGCCCCGGACTAGCCATAAGGCCTGTCCAAGAGGCGATGTGCAGAAAAATGCAAGGTGGTGTGTGACCAAGTGATCAGTGAGTCAATGTGGGGGTCCCACACCCAAGTGACTTCCTGAGCACCCCTGGGACACCACCCCCAGGGGGCACAACACCACGGGCTTCTGCCGCCCCCAACTCTCCAGCCAGACCAAGCTTCGCATCCATTCCTCTCAGGAGGCAGGGCACCTTCAGAGATCCCTCCGCCGGAGCCCACCCATCACAAGGGTCGAAAGCTCCGATGGCCTGGAACCTCATCCAGTACCCCACCAATTACGCCAGGATTTACTAAGCTGCCATCTACCCCTCTCCTTAGGTGACGGCAGCCGTTCTTTCCCGGCAACAGATAAGAACAGATACTACACTTGATCTTAGCCAAAAGGCCGAGAAGCTTGAAATTCCTGTTACTAGAGTAGAAAATATTAAGAAGCTTAAAAGGTCCATGGGTGTGCAGCCAACATCAGGAAGTGGCTGCCGGAGGAAGATTGACTCCAGATTGAACAGACCGAAATGAGCTGAAACATGCACCCTTCAAAATCTGAAACAGCTAGCGAAGTTCCCTCAAGATGTGTTGGCAAAACTACCTGTTGGAAGTCTCATTAAGAGCTACATGAATCCCTTGTGTTCAGTAATTGTCTCCAAAAGTTTGTGCAACTAAATATTAGGTTAAGTGTCCGGTCATATTTGTCCATGCCATTTTTGTTTTATTATTTAAAATATTCCAAACATTAAAAGAAAAGTCTGATTTTAATTAAATATGGAAATAAAAGATAATTACTTTGGTCAATTTCAAGTTAATGCAGAGAAAACTGAGGGTACTAACAAGTTTGTCTATGTCTGCATATCAATAATAATAAAATACCATAATGAAACACAATAGCAACAAAAGGAGCAAAGAAAATACAGTACCAAAATTCTCTCGGGCCTAAAGGATATCTAAAAAAAAAAAAA